AAAGAAAGGTTGGATAAATGGGACTGCATTAAACTGCACAGCTTCTGCATGACAAAGGACATAGCTAGCAAAATATATGGAAACCCCACAGACTCGAGATCTTCACCACCCATGCAACAGACAAGGGTCTCATATCTAAAATATACCAACAGCTCAAGAAATTAAATTCCCCTAAAACAAACCCCCAAAGAAACAACCACCCCATTAAAAAGCGGGCTAAAGACCTTAAAAGAGACCTCTCTGAAGAGGAAATACGAATAGCCAAGAGACACATGAAGAATTGCTCAACATTTCTGGCTATAAAAGAAATACAAATCAAAACAACATTGTGATTCCACCTTATACCAGTTAGAATGGCTATAATAAATCTAACAACAACAGATGCTGGTGGGGAATGTGACCAGAGGGGAACGCTATATACGACCACACTGTTGGTAGGAATGCAAACTTGTTTATCGCTTTGGAAAGCAGTGTGGAGGTTCCTCAAAAGACTTCACATAGAGCTCCCTTATGACCCAGCAGTCCCACTTCTGGGAATTTACCCAAATGACCACAAACAAGGCCACACTAAAGCCACCAGTAGAACAATGTTCATCGCAGCACTATTTAGCATAGCCAAGATATGGAACCAACCCAAATGACCCTCAGTCGATGAATGGATCAAGAAAATATGATACATATACACAATGGAATTCTATGCTTCCATCAAAAAGAATAACACTGGGGCTGGGAAGGTGGCTCAGTGGTAGAGTGCTTGCCTGGCATATATGAGGCCCTGAGTTTGAGTCCTCAGCACCCCATAAGCAGAAAAAGCTGGAAGTGGTGCTGTGGCTCAAGTGGTAGAGCACTAGCTTTGAGCTGAAGAGCTGAGGGACAGTGTCCAGGCCTAGAGTTCAAGCCACAGGACGACCACCACCACCATCAACAACAAAAACGAATAACATTGTTCCATCCATAAGGAAACAGAAGGACTTGGAAAAAGTTATGTTAATTAAGCCATACCCAAAGAAAAGCAGGTTGCATGATCTCCCTCATTTATCAGAACTAGAATATGTATATGATTTTCTTTTTTTTTTGTTGGTCATGGGGCTTGAACTCTGGGCCTGGGTGCTGTCCCTCAGCTCTTCAGCTCAAGGTGAGCGCTCTACCACTTGAGCTACAGAGCCACTTCCGGTTTTCTGGTGGTTTAATGGAGATAGGAGTCTCACGGTCTCTCCTGCCTGGGCTGGCTTTGAACCTCGATCCTCAGATCTCAGCCTCCTGAGTAGCTAGGATTACAGGTGTGAGCCACCAGCGCCCAGCTATGTATATGATTTTCTTAACAGGGCTCTCAATAACCCAAGTTCTTAGGGCTGGGAAGGTGGCTCAGTGGTAGAGAGCTTGCCTCCCATGCATGAAGCCCTGGGTTCAATTCCTCAGCATCACATAAGCAGAAAAAGCCAGAAGTGGCGCTATGACTCAAGCGGTAGAGTGCTAGCCTTGAGCAAAAGAAGCTCAGGGACAGTGCCCAGGCCCTGAGTTCAAGTCCCATAACCATCAAAACAAACAAACCTAAGTGCTTAGTGTATAGGTCTATACATAATGAAACATATTAACATGTACTCCAACTTATGGAAACAAACTAGAAGGTCTCATTAGACCCTATATATAGTTTGTTCTTTTTCTCTGTTGTTTTTTCCTTTCTTCATATCTCTTAGTTTTTTGCATCTCGTGTTTTGCATAATAGAAAAGGCAATATGTGAAAGGGAATCACAGAAACAGCAGAACAACGGATGAACCAAGCAACATTGAAACTCACTTGACACTATGTGGGATATGAACATTGCAAATTGTGTGTGTGGGGGGGGGGATGGAGAGGGAAAAGTGGGAGATAAAGAGATGGGGTAATAATGGTTAAAAACAAATGAACTTATTGCCTTACCTATGTAACTGTAACCCTCCTGCTCATCACCTTTTCAAAAAAAAAAAAAGAATGTGAGGCCCTGAGTTCTAGCCCCACTGCCAGCATCAAAACTAACTAAAGAAATAAATGTGAATCACAGCACAGCTCCTCCTTTAAGTCTTTAACAACGCAATGGAAATAAATGTCTTGGCTGCTGATGAAGAACATTCCTGTCACCCAGGTGGCTGCACTATTTTGTAGTTCCTCAAATGTTATTACACATCTCTATGCCTCAATTTCCTCCTATGGAAAAGGAGATGAATGATATTATGGGCGTGAGCCACCATACATGGCCACAACACTTTTGTTAATTTTGAAATTACATGTATACATTTTGACATCTTCATAGTCGGATTCCCTGAAGCCACATGCTGACTCCCTGACAGTAAACCACGTGCCTGGCATAGGGCATGTCACATGCATATCTCTCTGGGTGATGAAGACATACAGGATTCAACGTCATTACTCTATCCCACCTCACTGAGATGATCTGAAATGAGTATCAAGTGAAGAAATCTGAAAATAATAAATAATCAAAATATAGCTTTACATTGTGGCAGACTAAAGGAGGGTTGTTTTGTTTGCAGATGAAGTATAGGAACCTCAATGTATATGTGTGTGTGTGTGTGTGTGTGCGTGTGCGTGCGTGTGTGCATGTGTGTGTTTTCAGGAGCTTTTAAAAACACAAGAGTCAGCTAGGCACTCATGTCTGCAATCCTAGCTACTCAGGACGTGAGATCTGAGGATTACAATTCAAAGTCAGCCCAGCAGGAAAGTCCACAAGATTCTTATCTCCAATTAACCACCCAAAAGCCAGAAGTGGAGCTGTGGCTCAAATGGTAGAGTGCTAGCCTTGAACAAAAAACTTCAGGGACAGTGCCAGGTCTTGAGTTCAGGCCCTAGTACTGGCAGAAAAAAAACAAACAACAAAACAAAACAAAACCCAAACCAAAAACAACAAAAATCCAGGAAAGACTACTGAGTGAGTAGGGGAGCTTCCCAGATCTTATAACCTGTCCTCCAGGACCTTGATGAAGTAGGTACTTTAGAAAAGAAGTTCTTTACTACCTCTCTCTCTGTTTCTTTGCGAAAGTATTTTATTCGATGTGATTTGTGATGTACTATATTTAAATTTCTGAGCAATGTCAAGTCAGGTTTTGTACTGCCATATCTCTTGGTGGTATTTGGGATGAGGACAAAAGCAAGACAGAACAACATATGCATTGTCTCCTCATGTGCTTTAGATGTCAAGCATCCAGCATCTCAGAACAAAGCAACCAATTCAGCCCTGTTTCCTCGGACTCACTTCTCTCAGCCACACAGACATTGCTCACTATTTCCTCGCATTCTCCTGGGGAAGTCCCAAAGGACACACCCAATGGCAAGACCCCACAGCCTGAGGTGGCTCAGTGGGGGCTTGGCATGGTTGGTCAGCAATGTAAAATGCCTAATGAGACATTCCAGGGTGGAGGAGAGACGGAGAGCCTCTCCAGGGCTTTCTCAGTAGTTCTAAAGCTGGAAGAACAAAAGCCTCACAGTGTCTCTGGCTGGTAGCTGCTGTGGCTAATTTTATTTTCATCAGGCATGGCTCAAGGCGGGGATGCCTGAGAGATGGTGAAAAGATGCTTTTCCTTAGGCAGTTCATTACAGACCAAAAATTGAAATGAATCCAAGTTTAACTTTTCTGGGAGTGGAGAAGAGAGGAGAAAGAGAAAGGAGGGTGGGGCTGGGGAGGGAGGGCGGCAGGGAGAGAGAGAGAGAGAAAGAAAGAGAGAGAACTAATATCCAACTAGATGTTCTCTAAAAGTACCAAGCTGCAGTGGTGGGAAACAAAACTAACACCAGAAATAAAGAAATCCTGAGTCTAGATACAGTGGGATTCCTCCTTTTCCCCTTCTTTCTCTCCTTCTTCCTCGTTCTTCTTCTTCCTTTTCTTATTATTTTCTCTCTTTCTCTTCCTCCTCTTTTTTCTCTCTTCCTCCTCTTTAATTCACTTTCCCTCCTTCACTTCCTCCTTTTCTCCTTTGTTTTCTTTTTCTTTTGTAAAGATAGGATTATGGCTCAGTATGGCCTTAGCGTTGTGATCCTCCTGCTTCAGCTTTCTGAATGCTGAGATTACAAGCATGTATCACCATATTTGAACCAACTTTCTTTCTCTTTCTTCCTTCCTTCCTTCCTTCTTTCTTTCTTTCTTTCTTGTTGATCATGGGGCTTGAACTCAGGTTTATTTGGGAAAATGTTTCATCATTTTTGCAACAGACACTAATGTATCTCTACTCCAATGTATCTAAATGAGAAATTCCAGGGCAGGTTAATAAAGAGAAACCAAAGTAAATACAGGATCAAGATCTTCTCTGAAAGAATTAAGATTGCCTAGAATTCTATACAAACTGTCGAGTCAGGTATGTATTAGTTATATACTCAGTAGGACATGATAATGTCCAAAACTTGGGATAATATGATAAATGTGAGCATTAGTTGTGAAATGCCAACATGAACTTCCTTGTTGCAGTACTCTAGCATGTTGTATTTGTGAAACCCTTCTAGTTTATCCCACAGTGGGTCCCGAAGGTTCCAATCCAACAGCAAACATTACATAGCAAGTCTGGAGTATACATTGGTGTCCAGTTGATCTCACTGTGGGTAAACTTTAAACCAAAGTGACACAGCTGTATGACAAGTTGAATCTATTTCCTTGGAGTAATAGCTGTTCTTTCAGCCATGAAACTCTAGAGGCAAAATCATTTTTACCAGCTTTGACAAAGTCCCCATGCCCCCGCCCTTTTTTGTCTGTCATGGGGTTTGAACTCTGTCCTGGGCACTGTCCCTCAGCTCTTCAGCTCAAGGAAAGCACTGTACCACTTTGAGCCACAGCGCCACTTCCAGTTTTCTGGTGGTTAATTGGAGATAAGAGTCTCATGTACTTTCCTGCCTGGGCTGGCTTTGAACGCAATCCTCAGATCTCAGCCTCCTGAGTAGTTAGGATTATAGGCATGAGCCACCAACACCTGGCAAGTCCACATTCTTTAGATAAATATATCATTAACATGAAATGTACCTTTAGAGGTCTCCCAGCATACAAAAGAATCAGTTAGAGACAAGCCTTGCTTATAATAAAAGGTAGTTAATTCTAGCCAATCAGCGTCAAGTGTACTGATGATGGATCCTTTTCTTGTTATTTTCATTGACAGGATGCCTTCCTGATAGGTCCAGCAGGTCGAGTCATCATCAAAAACATTGAAGACTGTATACAACTTGTTATCTGGAGAGAGGCATTCAGAAGGAGGAAAGGGGATAATTATAATTCTATTAATAAAAGATTCTTGTTTTTGGTGGTACTGAATTTTTTCCAGGCAGATACATTACTACTTCACCCATGCTCCCAGCTCTTTTTGCTTTAGTTATTTAGTTAGTCTCGTATTTGTGCCCATGTTGCTATGCTATTATGTTTCCTGAAGGTCTGGGAAGGCGTGCATATTCTACCACACACTGTCTACCTATTCTATTAGTTGAGAACTTTTTTTGCCCTGATGGCCTTGAATTATCATCCTCTTGATTGCTCCCTCCTGAGTAGCTAGCATTACAGGACTGAACTACCATGCCCAGCTTCATTAAAGATTCTTAAAAGTTAAAAAATTAATCATGAGATATTTCAAGCATACAAAGAAGTACAGAGAACAGTAAAAGCACTTGCCATTCACTTAATCAAATGTTAGCAAGCCATATTAGCTTCAAGACATGGACACACTGTGGCTACTATGTGGCATGTATGTAGTAGTATGTAGTTGCTGATTCTATCTCCAGACATAGCTACAGCAATGAATCTGGTGTTTATCATTCTCTTGAAAGCTTTTATTTTTTCCAACACTTATTTATAAGTCTATGTAATCTAAAAACATCATACACATGTTTTTCAGTTAAAAAATTTTAAATTTCAATAATATTATACTGTTCTATGTTAATCTATACCTTTTTTTGGTATGTGTGTATATGTGGTGTTGGGATTGAACCCAGGGAGACATGCATGCTAAGTGATCTACTGTTAAACAATACCCTAGTCCTATAATTGATTTTAAAAATTCAACATTTTGCCCTTGAAATGTAAATATCTATATAGTTTTTATTTATTTAGTTTTACATTCAACTAACTTCTCCCTTTTGATGGACATACACATTGCTTCCATTGTCTGTTGTAACAAACATTTTTCTTGTCCTACTGAAATAGCTTTGAACTGTGATCCTCAAATCTCAGCCTCCAAGTAGCTAGGATTACAGGGATGAGTCACCAGTACCCGGCTAGGAAGTTGAATATCACTTGTATTACAGACAAAGTATTTAGATTCACAGTTTCACTAGATACTCCATCAGGTCTTGTACATACTTCCGTGATCCCCTTCTTTATTCAAGGGTAACTATAATACAACAGTTATTAGGAAGTATGTAACTAAGTAGCATATTGAACTTAGGACTTAAAAGACTAGAAGTAGACACCCCATTTGGTGAAACTCAAGGGGGAAACCAGCGTAGAGTTTGAAGGCAGATCTGAATAGAATATAGAGAATAGCTCTTTGATTACACTCTAGTAACTATTGCTCACTCTTACTTTTTTTAAAAAATGATTTTCACATCACAGAAAAACCAGGGCAGTTGTTAGTTAAGGAACTGGTGACGCGCGAGTGTGGTGGTGAGGTCCAGATGATGAGTTGGAAATATTCTTCCTTCAGGAGATCGTGCCCATATGGTCAGGTGGATCTCTGTCCTGCACAGGATGTGGGATCAAAGGCTCAGTTAATAGCAATTAGCTTTCTAGAGCTTATTTCTGCCAGGCATTGGACACTCTGTAGAACTCTTTTATTTACTTTCCACCAGAACTCTGTGAGGGAAGTCCTACAATTACCTTTCATATATAAAGAAAAGGAAACATCATTAAACTCCAGAGCCTGTGCTGTTAAAAGCTGTATGACAGCTTCGATTTTCTTTGGAAGTGCTTTTCATAAAGCATGCCTGTAAAGGTATCAGAAAACCTTGAACAGTCAACAAATAATTTCAATTTCATGGGAAAACTTGCTAGTTGGCAAAGAAGAACAAAACAATTGTTAAAAGTTATATTAGGTTGCAGGACTATTGTTATAAAAATTGTTTCATCATGTTGTGCTATTTTCATATTCTAGTTGACGATGAATGAAAATCAATTAATTTCAGAGGTGAAAATCATCTATGAAATGTACAAGGTCCAAACTAGAATTTTCCCACGCTGTTTATAAGGACAAACATAAATTACAACAGCTTTCCTTGTCATCAATTCAGTTTTTTGGCACATGCACAACTCTCTATTCAGGAACGGAGTTTTAGAAACTGATCTTCAGCACAAAGTTACAGGACCAGTTAGAGAGACATAAGGTCTGAATCACTGCTTTGCAATATTTCCAGATACAAGAATTGTTTTTTAAAAAAATTGCAAGTTTATGTTAGTTCATTTAGACTTTATCCTCTTTAGAAATTTACTTGGCCTCAAATTTCCTTTTGAAAACTTCCAGAAAGTGCATTTGGCTAAACGTAATCTAAGAATATATTCTATTTATCTTGACTATTACCTTCTCCGGTTTTGGGTTTAGGGGAGCTGGGGCTGCCATTTTGTTCAATTTGACACTGTAGGCTTTCGTGATGAGGGTCTTCTTCAATTCTGCTTTTAGATGATTGCCTGCTTAAGGTTCCTTCATTCCAACTTCTGCAGTTTTCATCCGGACTGTGTCTCACACGCAGCATTGGTTCTATGTCTCCGTCATGGCTGGTCCCATTACAACATTTAGATAGTGAAGAATGGTGGGATATAAATCCAACAAATCTCATTCCTCTTTTAGCAGCAACATTAATCTGAGGTTTACAGAGAGATGGCAGAACAGAATGTTCACTCCATTTAGGTAGGTTAATTTATCAGTTAAATTTTAGCTTTATTGAGGAAACTATTAGAAGAGAATGAATTGACCAGTAACTAAGGACACATCCATGAACTAATTAATCACCTAAAAAAATAACACTGGTCTTTAAGAGAAAGAATATACTTCAGAAATTATAAAAACAGCAATCATTGTTTGGGAAAAATTTGGAATTTTATACATGATTTTTGAAGCAATGATCTTTCCAGTTGGAGCAAAGTTAAGAATTATTGTAGAACGCCTCCAAAATAACACTAACATATACATCTTCATGATTAGAGGAGACATTGACTTAACTGCAAAAACACAGGAGTTGGAGGTATGGCTCAGGTGGTACTGCACCTGTCAATGACTATAAAGCATCAGATAGAGAGTTGGAGTCCCAGTCTTGGTTGGAAAAACAAAAAGGAAAAATATAAAAACAAAAAACCCCTAAAAGCATACAGAGCATTATTTGCTTGATGTTGATAGGGAAAATATCAAAGACTAATTTTTGTAGATGTGTACATAAAACATAAGCTTAATTCATAGCAGTTCCAATGAAACTTTCTGATCTTTATATATTTCAACTTAATATTGGTGTCTTTTATCCGGTCTAAGATACATATAATAAATTCAATCCTGTTGATTAAAAAGAATAGAAATTGTGAAACAGATGATATAATGCCAGAGAAATATCTAAAGAATATCTTGTTTTGGGCTGGGAAGGTGGCTCAGTGGTAAAGCGCTTGCCTTGCATGCCTGAGGCCCTGGGTTCAATTCCTTAGCCCCACATAAGCAAAAAGAAAAAGCCAGAAGTGGCCACAGGGCTCAAGTGGTAGAGTGCTAGCCTTGAGCTGAAGAGCTGAGGGACAGCGCCCAGGCCCAGAGTTCAGGTCCCACGACCGGACCCCCCCACCAAAAAAAGAATATCTTGTTTTTCTTTTCCTTTCTTTCTTTCTTTTTTTTTTTTTTGGTGGTTGTGGGGCTTGAACTCTGGGCCTGAGCGCTGTCCCTCAGGTCTTCAGCTCAAGGCCAGCGTTCTACCACTTGAGCTACAGTGCCACTTCTGGTTTTCTGGTGGTTTATTGGAGATAAGAGTATCACAGACTTTCCTGCCCCCAGCTGGCTTTGAACCGTGAACCTCAGATCTCTGCCTCCTGAGTAGCTAGGATGACAGGCATGAGCCACCAGCACCCGGCCAAGAATATCTTAAGAGTGGTTATTTTCTCTTTCCCTCTCTCCTTCTTGCCTTCCCTTGGAGATAAGAGTCTCAAGGATATTTCTGCCCCAAGGACTTTGAATTTTAATCCTCAGATCTCAGCCTCCTGAGTTACTAAGATTACAGGTGTGAGCCACTAGCTCCCGCCTCTCTCATTTTTGAGTTTGAACTCAATCTTAGAACTTGCTAGGTAGGTGCTCTATCCCTTAAAACAAATTCTCTTAAAGTGATTATTTTCATATTCAAGCACTTTTAGCATTGATATATTTGTAAGATTTAGATTCCTTTGAATGTAGACTGTAAATTTGTAAATTTAATGTATTTTCTTCTGTTTCTGCTTTATTTAAAAATTCTATTTATGTGTAATTTGTGTGTGTGTGTGTATGTGTGTATGTGTGTGTGTGTGTGTGTGTGTGATGGCGCTTGAACTCTGGGCCTGGGTGCTGTCCCTCAGCTCTTCAGCTCAAGGCAAGCACTCTGCCACTTGAGCTACAGTGCTGCTTCTGGTTTTCAGGTGGCTAATTGGAGTTAAGAGTCTCACAGACTTTCCTGCCTGGTTGGCTTTGAACTGCGATCCTCAGATCTCAGCCTCCTGAATAGTTAGGATAATAGGTGTGATCCACCAGCACTCTGTATGTAATTCTTTTTTTCTGTGTTCAGTTGGTGGATCTTTTTAGGGCAGGGACTGCTCTTGCATATTGTAGCACTTCCAATTATAGGTGATCTACAAGTATTTGTTAAATAATTTAAAATGAAGTAGTAATGTTTTCTATATGGTTGCTCTTTGAACTATTTCAATTAAGTATTTTATTTTTGGTCAGTTGTGGGCTTGAACTCATGGTCTGGGTGCTGCCCCTGAAGCTCCTTTGCTTAAGGCTAGAGTTTTACCACTTCCAGTTTTCTGGTGGTCAATTGGAGATAACTGTCTCATGATTTTCCTGCCTGGGCTGGCTTTGAACCGTGATCTTCAGATCTCAGCCTCCTGAGTAGCTAGAATTACAGGTGTAAGCCACAAGCACCTGGCTCAGTTAAATATTTTAAATGTTACCTGGGGTGGTAAGAGAGAGTTATGATGGAAGTTGTAATTGGAAACATCTATAGTTAGAATGGAAAAAAAATGCCAGGAAGAACTGAAGAGAAATCAAGAGCAATGCCCAGCCAGACACTAGCGGCTCACTTCTGTAATCCTAACTACTCAGGAGGCTGAGATCTGATGATCGTAGCTCGAAGCCAGAGAGGGAACACAAATTAGTGAGACTCTTCTCTCCAATTAACCAGTAAAGGCTGGAGGTGGAGCCATGGCTTACGTGGTAGAGCAGCCTTGAATGAAAAAGCCAAGCAAGGACATGAGGGCCTGAATTCAAGCTCCAGTACTGGCACTAACACACACACACACACACACACATACAAAACAAAACAACAACAAAAACCCTCTTTACACTAGGCAGCCCCTCAAAAATAATATTTGGCATTCATCTATTGCTCTTATTCACACCAGGGTAAGGTTCAGATTTTATGTGCTGTTTCCTTTTCTCTTCATAAGATAACCCCATTCCTCTAATTGCTGAAATAACAGTTCTTTCCTGTTGAGGCAGAGCTTTCACTGTATCCAGGAAGCCAAATACAAAATAAAGACCCCAAGGGCTATTTAGTTAGGCTAAATTAGTAGCTGTATTTTAGTTTGCAAAAGAAGATGTCTGGGGTGGATTTATTCCCAGAAAAACATTTCCCAGAATAGTAGTAGTAAACAGTATGTGTATTCTGTTTATAGTCTCAAAGACCCTTTCTAAAGGCGCTTATTGAATGCTGGCTTTAAACTTAAATATTATTAACTGCTTGGACTGGCTGTATAAAAACCACAGATAATCGTACACACATGGTTCTATAAAGCTTGACAGCAACAATGAACAAGCGAATAAGTTTCACAACTTTTTATCTTATTTATTTTTGTTTTAAGACAGGGTCTTAATTTGAACTAGAGATCCTTCTCCTGCCTCAGTCTCCTTAGAGCTGGAATTACAGGTGGAATTACCATGTCTAGGCAAGCATGAAGCCCTGGGTTCAGTTCCTCAGTACCACATAAACAGAAAAATCTGGAAGTGACGCTGTGGTTCAAGTGGTAGAGTGCTAGCCTTGAGCAAAAGAAGCTCAGGGACAGTGCCCAGGCCCTGAGTTCAAGCCCCAGGACTGGAAAAAAAAAAGAGTATCTGGCCAAGCACTGGTGGGTCACACCTGTAATCCTAACTACTTAGGGGTTGAGATCTGAGGATTTCTGTTTGAAGCCAGCCTGGGCAGGAAAGCCCCTGAGATTCCGATTAACCATCAAAAAACCTGAAGTGGAGCTATGGCTCAATTGGTCATGCTAGCTTTGAACAGAAAAGCTCAGAGACAGAGCCCAGGCCCTGAGTTCAAGCCCTAGGACAGGTGTACACACATGTGCGCATGCACACACACGCACACACGCATGTGCACACACGCACACACACGCACGCGCGCACGTGCGCGCGCACACACACACATGAGACAGGAGGGCTGGGAAGGTGGCTTAGTGGTAGAGTGCTTGCCTTGCATGCATGAGGCCCTGGGTTCAATTCCTCAGTGCCACATAAACAGAAAAAGCTGGAAGTGGTGCTGTGGTTTAAGTGGTAGAGCACTAGCCTTGAGCTGAAGAACTGAGGGACAGCACCCAGGCCCAGAGTTCAGGCCCCACGACCAATAAATAAATAAATAAATACCCAAAACAACAACAACAACAAAGAGACAGGATATCCCTTTCATTTATACTCATTTCCTATATATTTTGAAAATGGGGCTCCCATAGGACACATTTATTGCAGATTTCCCTTCAAACAAAAAAATATTTTTGCGTGTGTCGGTGTGGGGTTTGAGCTCAGGGCCTGGCACTTAGACACCTCACCACTTAAGCCATACTCTTGCCCCTTTTGTTCTTTAATCCTTTGAGCTAAGGGTCTCATCTTTTTGCTGTGGCTGATCTAGATTATCATCCTCCTGTTTATGAGATTATAGGTATGAACTATAATAGTCAGCTATTGGTTGAGATGGTATCTCATTAAATTTTTGCCCAAGCTGACCTAGAGCCTCAATCATTTTGATTGCTGGGATATAGACTGGAGCTACCTCATGTTGTCCTATTATTATTATTATTGTTATTATTGTAGTAGTACTGGGTTTAAACTCAGGGCCTCCTGTTTGTTAGGCAGGACTTTAGCACTTGTTCCATGTCTCCAGCCCTTCCATGTGACTGAACTTTTTTTTCTGATATGTCTTCTCTGTTTCATTGTTCCTCATTTTATGTTTTAAACTCTGTATAATTTGGTACAAACCCTGAATATTCTCTCTCTCTCTCTCTCTCCTTTGTGCCAGGACTGAGATTTAAACTCAGGCTACACTACAACTTCACTTCTGGCATTTTGGTGATTAATTGGATATCAGAGTCTCTTGAACTGAGCCTGGGCAGGATTTGAACCAGGATTCTATGATCTCAGCCTCTTAAATAGCTCAGATTACAGGCATGCACCAAGGTACACACTGTATTCTTTTTCTTTTTCTTTCTTTCTTATTTTTTGTTGTTGTGATAAAGGCTATATACGGAGGGGATACAGTTACATAAGCCAGGTAGTATGTGCATTTCTTTATAGACAATCTCACCCCTTCTCTCGCTCTCTCCCAGTTTTCCCCTCCCATCCTCACCTACAAGTTGTATAGTTCATTTTTAACGTAGTATCTTGTGAGGCACTGTTCTTTTTATTTTTATTTTTTGTTTTTTTGGGTTTTTTTTTGTCGGTCATGGGGCTTGAATTCTGGGCCTGGGCGCTGTCCCTCAGCTCTTCAGCTCAAGGCGAGCACTCTACCACTTGAGCTACAATGCCACTTCTGGCTTTCTAGTGGTTTTTTATTGGAGATAAGAGTCTCACAGACTTTCCTGCCTGTCTGGCTTTGAACCATGATCCTCAGATCTCAGCCTCCTGAGTAGATTACAGGCGTGAGCCAACGGCGCCCAGCGGCCCTGTTCTTTTTAAAATAAGAAAAGAAATGGATAAAGAAGAAATACCAAATGCTTCTCAAAATCCCATGAAATATGTACTTATATGTAGTACCTTTTCTATCAATTCTTTTGCTATGTCATTTGTTTGTGTCTCGTAAGTTAGAGGACATTCCTCAATCACAAGTCTTGGGCGTCTTTGTCCACTGGATGCTGCTGAGTGCTTTGGGCTGTAACAGAGAAAAGATATTCATGATTGGAGGTCAATTGCTGAAGACCAGCTATTTCCTTCATGTGAAGATGAGTGAACAAGTTTAAGACAATCTTTTTTGTTCTTTCAACTCCGAGGACTATCTTCTCATATAAAAATACCACACATAGTGACTTTGATTAGTTTAAATGTCCTTGATTTAAACTTCTAGAAATTGATAATTTAAACTGAAAGAAAAGATTTATATTTGTTGCTTTAATAAAAGTTATAAGAAATGCTTTACCTAAGTCTTGGAGCTTGAACTCAGGGCCTGGGCACTGTCCCTTAGCTTTTTAGCTCAAGGATGGTGTTCTACCACTTGCACCACAGCTCCATTTCTTTTTATTTTTGCCAGTTGTGAGGCTTGAACTCTGGGCCTGGATGCTATCCCTCAGCTCTTCAGCTCAAGGCTAGTGCTCTACCACTTGAGCCACAGCGCCACATCCGGTTTTCTGCTGGGTTATTAGAGATAAGAGCCTCACGGACTATGCTGGCTGGGCTGGCTTTGAACCCTGATCTTCAGACTCAGGTCTCCTGAGTAGCTAGGATTATAGGCATGAGCCACTGGCCCCCAGCCCACAGCTCCATTTCTGGCTCTTTGCTGGTTAATTGGAGAAGAGTCTCTCAGACTTTTCTGCCCAGGTTGTCTTTGAATCGTGACTCTTGTGTTACAGATGTCAGTCCAACTATTTTCATCCTTCATTGAAGTATCTTACCATTAAATTTAAAAAAATCATTTCCAGGCACCAGTGGCTTACATCTGTAATCTTAGCTATTCAGGAGGCTGAGATCTGAGGATTATGGTTCAAAGTTGTACCCAGCAGGAATGTCTGTGAGACTCCTATCTCCAATAAACTACCAAAAAAAGCAGGAAGTAGAGCTGTAGCTCAAGTGTGTACAGCACTAGCCTTGAGCAAAAAAGCTCAGGGACAGTGCCTAGTACTGGGGGAAAAAAAGTCAAATTTGCAACTTTGACAAAAATGGTTGCATAATTTGAAAAAAGTATCTTTCAAACATATTTTAGACTGGTGTCTTTGGCTCATACCTGTAATTCTCACTCCTCAGGAGGTTGAGACCCATGGATCATAGTTTAAAGCCAGCCCAGGCAGAAAAGTCCATGACACTCCTATCTCTAACTAACCAGCAAAAAGCTGGGGGTATAGATATGGCTCAAGAGGTAGAGCCCAAACCTTGAGCATAAAAATCCAGGCAAAGCTGGGTGTTGGCAGCTCACACCTGTAATCCTACCTACTCAGGAGGCTGAGATCTGAGGATCACAGTTCAAAGCCAGCCGGGGCAGGAAAATCCGTGAAACTCTTATCTCCAATAAACCTCCAGAAAACCAGAAGTGGCGCTGTGGTTCAAGTGGTAGAGCACTCTCCTTGAGCGGAAGAGCTGAGGGACAGCGCCCAAGCCCAGAGTTCAAGCCCCACAACCAACAAAAACAAAAACAAAAAAAACCACTTCCCTCTCCAAACCCCCTGCAAAACCCAGGCAAGTACACGAGGTCCTGAGTTCAAACCACTGGCATTAAAAATAAAGTAAAATAAAAAAATTAAGAGGGAAAAACTGGGAGAGTGTGAGGGAAGAGGTAACATTATTCAAAAGAAATGTAATCTTTTTTTTTTTTAAGCCAGTGGTGGGGCTTGAACTCAAGGTCTGGGCACTGTCCTAGAGCTTTTTCAACTCAAGGTTAGTACTCTACTACTTTGAGCCACAGAATCACTTCTGCTTTTCTGATGGCTAATTGGAAATGAGTCTCACAGACTTTCCTGCCCAGGCTGGCTTTGAACTGTGGTCCTCAGCTCTCAGTGTTCTGAGTAGCTAGGATTAGAGGGGTGAGCCACAAACACCTAGCAGAATAACTAATTTCTTGCCACACTATGCGTACCTTAGTTTTGAGCGTGATAAAACCACCCTGTAAAGGTAACTTGCTGGTAGGTGTTTTCGGGGTCCCACAGGTTGTATAATAGGATGAATGGCCCCAACAATATATCCTTTAAGATAATAGTCTTCCACTTTTGTTGCTATATCCAAAATTGAATTGATCTTGATGACTTCTGGGTTTGATGAAGCTGAAATATCAAAAGTGAAGGGATATTTTCATACTTATGCATTGCACTAACATCTTATGTATTTTCTAAACTTCAGAAAAAAGCAAGGGTAATCTTAAACTTCAGAAAAAAGCAGGGGTAATCTTATGAACTGGTAGATGTATAATTTTATCATGTCTTTTCTTTTTGTCATTTTTTCATGCTGGAGATTGACCTGATACTGATTGCCTAAACTTAGGAAGTTGGTTAGGAACACAGGAGGAAGAGTCCAAGGAAATGTTGTCTCCCATCACATTAATACCCATACATTGGAACAGAAATCCACCATCTGTGTGCATTCAGACCAACTTAAACTAAAATAGAGCAGTCAACAAGAGTTACCCAAACTAGGATGAATCCATGTCCTTTAATTTTCATCCTCTTTTGGAGTTAATGTTCTACTTCTAATCATCCTTATGAATAGAAAAGCAAAGAGAATAATCCTGGGTTTTGAAGAGACAGTCCTGCTGCGTTCCGTGGCAACCATGGCGTCATTCATGCCACTTTACTCTTTTTAGAATCTGGACTATTAACCTTGAATTTGAGACAAAGGAACCGAAAAAGCATCCAATAAGATGGAACAAACTCCTATGACTAGGAGTTACTTAAACTCTAGTAACTTAAACTTCTTTTTAAAACAATGCACTAATTCTACAAAAACTTAAAATTAGTCTTTTAATGGATTGCACTGCATACTATATAAAATGGGGGTGTTTTAACATGATATAAAAGAACCTTCAGTTTGGCCTCTGCCTGAAGATCAGGCTTCACCTTTGGCAGCCAGTTTTCATCTTTCCTGTATATCATACTTCCACATGTCAGAACTATCCCGGGAGTGTTGGAACCCACCATTCTGTTTCATGACACTAGCCTTTATTTTCTCCAATTCAGCCTCAGCTCTCTGATTCCTTCCTCTGTGCTATATATTCTTTTTTGTTCTGTGCTGTATATTCTTCTACTAGATATTTACTTATTCAGATGTCTGTCTTAGTCTGAGAATTGTTTAAGGGCAGGAAACCTACCTCAATCATGTCTTTCTATGTTTTATATGTGCCTTGGTTCATTATGTTAACTTGGAAATACTTATTTGTTAGGGCAACAAACATGCAAAATGAGTGCATAAAAGTACAAGTATTGCAACTCAAAAAATCATAACCCTTCCCAAACTAATAAACCAATCAATAAGGGCAATGGAGCTAAAGAGAGACTTCTCAGTAAAAGAATTAAGAATGGTAAATAGACACATGAGGAAATACTCAACATCTCTTTCCATAAAGGAAATGCAAATCAAAACAAGTTTGAGATTCTTTTTCATCTCAGTAAGACTGGGCAAGATCAAGAATTGAATAACAACAAATGCTGGTGGGGATGTGGGGGAAAAGGAACACTATTGCACTGTTGGTGGGAATGCAAACTAGCACAACAACTCTGGAAGGAGGTTTAGAGATTCCTCAAGAAACTGAACCTAAGATCTACTGTAGGAGCCAGCCAAAACATAATAAGCCAGGATACCATAAAGACACTTGCACATCCATGTTCATTGCTGCACTATTTACAATAGCCAAATTATGGAAACAGCCCAGATGCCCTACAATGGATGAGTGGATAAAAAATGGGGTACATAAACACAATGGAATTTTATTCATCCATTAGAAAGAATAATATTATGTAATTTGCAGAGAATAGATAAACTTAGAATAAATCATGCTGAGATAAAGCAAGCTCAGGTTGACTAATGGTACATGCTTTCTCTCACATATGGAAGCTAGATCTAAAATACATCAGGACATGATACATTATATAGGACTCCACGTATTTACACATAGTCAGACTAAAGGAGGATACCTTTAGGGGAGGAGCTCAAGGGCATAACTCCTCTGAACATTTAAAATGCTATTTATCAAAACAGATGCCAGGAAATGGAAAATTTTTATTGTATCATATGATTCAGTAATCAACTTGTAAGGGATTCAAATCAATGAAATTTGATTCTCAAAGAGATAACTACATTTTCATTCTCATAGCATCATTCATAGTAGTCAAGAAGTGAAAGCAATCTAGGTGTCTATTTATAGCTGAATGGATAAACAAAATATGGCCTATACACACTTTAATATTTTTCAGTCTGAAAAAAGGAAGGAAATAGACATGCTCTGGAGGCTCACACCTGAAATCCTTGCTACTCAGGAGGCTGAGATCTGAGGATAGCATTTTGAAGCCAGCCTGAGCAGGAAAGTCTGTGAGAGTCTTATCTCCAATTAATCACAGAAGAGCACTTAGAATGGTTGTATAAAAGTCCTAAAAGTTAAGAAAGAAAATCTAACAAAGAAAGACATTCTAAAATCTTTCCTTAAGATCACAACAAAGTTTCTTTCTGGTCTAATTTTCATCATCATGAAAGGGTAAGGCTACTGTCATGAGGTTTCACACACATCTATACACACACACACACACACACACACACAAAGGATGTCAGAAGGGATTTCACATAGAAACCTAGAAAAGTTAAAAAGGAAGAAAAATCTTGTCCATCAACACTTATTTAATAAGCACCTTTAACATTAATTTATATCAAGACATTATTCCTTCTGGGTTTACTGCTTTTTAGGACCATTCAGTGGTACCATTCAGATTTGTGCTTTTTAAAAAATAAGTATTTAGGCTGGGCACTTGTGGCTCATGCCTGTACTCCTAGGTATTCAAAGACTGAGATTTGAGAATTATGGTTCAAAGCCAGCGTGAGCAGGAAAGTGCATGAGACTCATCACCAATAAACTACTCAGAAAAAGCCAGAAGTAGTGCTGTGACTCCAGTGATAGAGTGCTAGCTTTGAGCAAAAGAAGCTTAGGGACAGCATCCAGGGTCAGATTTCAAGCCCCAGGAGTGGCAAATAAAAAAAAATAATTAACATCTCACACAGGATAATAATCCCTGACGGAAACATCCTCAGAGAACTACTCTACTATGTAAGCCACACCTCCATTTCTGATTTTTTGTTAATTAATTGGAGATAAGAGTTTCATGGATTTGCCCACCTGGGCTGACTTTAAACATTGATCCTCAGATCTCAGCCTCACTTAGCTGCGATTGCCAGTGTGAGCCACCAGGGCCTGGCTCTTGATAACATTTTAAACTGTGCTGAGAGTAGAGTCTTTTGGACTCTTAGGTGCTCAAACCTAACTCAGTTTGGGGATGGGAGAAAGAGCTGAGTGCACAGTCAGGAGGAATTTCCACCAGTGCTCAGCAGGGTGAAAACTGGCCCCTCTCTGGCTCAGCATTTTGGACCAGGTCTTTAGTTGGGGCTTATTAGATCAGGGGCTCTTGGACTTTTATTATTATTATTTTTTGTGATTGTCTTGGGCCTTCAAGTCAGGGACTGGGTGATGTTTGTGGGCTTTTTTTTTTTCCTCTTAAGGTTAGTGCTTTACCACTTGAGCCACAGCTCCACTTCTGGCTTTTTGCTAGTTATTTGATGATAAAAATCTCATGGATTTTCCTGCGTGGGCTGGCTTTGAATGGAGATCCTTAGATCTCAACTTCCTGATTAGGAATTACAGTGTAGGATTACAGTGTAAGACTGGCACCCAGCCTTTTTTCTGTTTGTTTGTTTTACTTTTGTGGGTTGAACTCCCAGCCTCGTGCTTATTGAGCAGGTGTTCTACCTTGCTCTACCCACAGCCCCCTTTCCTTATTCTTAGAAAACTCTTAAAAAGTAGGTATCATAATCATTCTCAGATGAAAAAAAAACCCCAAAACCTCAGGAAGAAAAAGATGAGGCAATTTCCTCAAATTGCTAGTAAAGTGTGAGGCTGCTCTTGAACTCCGACAGAAAGAGTTGAAAGCCAGAACATTCCAGCACTTCTGGGAAAGTAAAAGTTCAGGGATTTGGATTATATTGTTTCAGAGTCTGAGAATTCAGAAACAAGATAGGAAAAAGCATTTAGACCAGGGTAAGTTGGTAAGTAATTTAATGTATGGAAATTGAAAGGAGTCACTAATTAGTTTACTCATCAAATGTTTTAAATAACCTGACTTAACCAGGCTCCCTAAGTAAATACTGCTTCCATGACGATACTTAAGTGACAGCTGTCCCCTGGTAGCCACTGGTTAATATATTTCAATGCAGTAAAACTCTGATGAACTACGCAGGACATTATGGCGGGCAGGCAGGGACAGGCCTATTTATGAGAGCCCCAGCCTCTGGCAGCCTGTTTCAGTGCTTGCTCCTCCCGTTCTGCTTCATGCGCAGTTTCCAGACAGACCGTAGCATTTCCTCCCATGGCTAGGCCTTTGTAGCGTTGTCTGCTTTTCCATTCAGTTCTTTTCTTTTTCTTTTTTTCTCAGTCATTTCTTTTGACTCCAATGAGTTCCCCCTCCCTCACCCCTCAGTAGTAGGGAGCATGTGCAACAATGTAATATACTACAGGGGACACACACAAAGCCCAGGCAAAACTACCAACACTTGGATAGAAAGCAGAGCTAGGTGCTGGTGGCTTAGAATTATAACTGTAGCTACTTAGGAGGCTGTGGTTCAAAACCAGCCTAAGTAGATGCTTAAACTTCAATTAACCAGCAAAAGCTGGAAGTTAGAGGGGTGGTTCAAATGGTAGAGAGCCAGCCTTAAATAAAACTCAAGCAAGAACATGAGGTTCAAACCCAGTACTGGGGGAGAGAGGAGAGAGGACAGGAGAGAGAGAGGAGATAAGAGGGAAAAAGGGGAGAAAAGGGAGAGGGAGAGAGGGGAAAATGGAGAGAGGAGAGAAAGAGGGAGAGAGAGAGACAGAGGAGAGGGGAGAGAGAAGGGAGAGAGGATGGGGAGGGGGGAGAGAGGGAGAGAGAGGGACAGAGGAGAGGGGAGAGAGAAGGGAGAGAGGGAGAGGGAGAGAGGAGAGAGGGGAGAGAGGGGAGAGAGGGGAGAGGGGGAGAGAGGACTTGGCTGGCGCTTTAGTAGCCCCTATTTCCCCCTTCCCAGTGGCACTTCC